TTTAGCTTCCATAAACACAGAAGACCTCAATGATGAATGGTTTTGATCTGCAGTCACGCAATCGGTTTAACAGCTTTCTTTAGTAAAAAAGATTCCTCTTTTCTATCTATGGATACTCAGTCTGAGCCACATTCTTAATGGTAGGAAAAGAGAGATGGAAGGAAGGAATCTGGAAACGTGAGAGCACTTTTCTCTGCTGATTAAGGCATCCTCTCCTTTGATGATAATTCATTTGCTTCCTAAATTGCTCCATTTTCTCCCCCCTGTTACACACACACATAAATCTACCATGTGGGAGGTGAGGTTGCAAAAGATGGGACCAGGAACCTGCCCGACAGAAGGGAAAGGACCGCTTTGCTATTGCACTGCTTCCTGCTGCCTGGGTAACAGGGTCACGCCTTCACCCACACACTGGGCATCGGGAAGGCGTGAAAACACGACTTTCCACAGGGGCCCGCGGGAGCTCGCTCCTATGTGCTGGCGACTCAGAATATGAAATTACTGGGAAAAGAAAAACAGTGCAGCTTCAAGTGTCTTCCTAAGTGTAAGAATTACAGTTAAGCAGCTATTCAGACAGAGTCACGACGGCTCCAACAGTGACTTACAGACACATCCAAGCTAACCGCACATCAGCACATGTGGGATTAGGGGTGGGAGAGAGAAAATAGGAAAGCCAAGCTGAGTTCATCTCCAAGGTCCACACTGAAAATTCTATTTGTCCGAATTATTTTGTTCACGCGGGAGTTCTCAGCTATGTTTTCTACCTTCACCTGTATCTCTTAAGAGTAAGGGGGCAGCCCAGCCACTGCTGCCTAGTGGTTGAGCATGAACCTGGAGGTGGCGGCTCGATTCCCGGTCAGGGCACATGCCCGAGTTTCGGGCTCCATCCCCAGCAGGGGGCGTGCAGGAGGCAGCTGATCAGTGACTCTCTCATCATTGATGTTTCTCTCTCTCTCCCCCTCTCCCTGAAATCAGTAAGAACATACTTAAAAAAAAAGGTAATTTCTTTTTAAAAAAAGTGTAAGGGGATAATTAAAATAGGAGAGAAAGTCACCAGTATTTTGATTTCCACCCAGACTCCCTCCCATTGCAACCTTGACACAGCCATAGCTGAGAATCTTGATCAGAGAGTGGTGAGAAGTGTGACGTGGAAAAAGAACTGGAGACATTCAGCTATTACGCCAATAATGCACTAGCCAGAGTTGTTCTCAACATTAGCTACACGTTAGAATGACTGGGGGAGGTTCTGAAAATTGTGATGACCGGGTCCACCCAGATTCTGATGTGATTGGCCTGGGGTGCAGCCTAGGTACCTGGATGTTTTTTCTTCTAGACCATAGGTGCAAAAACTAAATCTCTGTTTTAGCATGCCCTTCAGGAGAATTAAAGAGTAAGCAACTATATTCATGCCATGTGTTTCTCTGCAATTATACAATTTGATAATTTTACCCTGTAAAATCATTTCAAAGAAACACTCACAGATTTTATATTTTAATCGTACCATTTTTGAAATAGCTCTTAAGTTTCTGATTTCTATATCTAGAAGATAGATTTCTATACTAGAAGAGTTTTTGTCATTTGCTTTCCTCTATTTGAATCAATAAGATGTCATCTTAATTTTGTATTTTAATAAAAAAAATCCCTCTTTAAAAGGGCTGTCATTGGGCAGTTGATGCTGTGGTGATATGATCTAAGATTCTGACTTAAGTGTCATTTTGTTAAACAAAATACTCAGTTGAACACATGCTCTGATACCCTTGCTGTATGTGGTTTTATCATCTGAAAAGTAAAGCTTTACTCTTGTAAGCTCATATCACTAAATTAAAAAAGTAAAATATTTTTAATCCAATTTAGAATCAAAAGACCTAGTTCTCTAATCATGACAGATAAGTGATCAATTAACATGGGCAGGCAGTGAGAAGCTCGTTCCTGCCCTAGAGTTATAAATGCAAACGGAATGCAAGGAAGTATCTTGATCTACAAGTACTTTAATATATAAGCATATACCTGTCAGAAAGTTATACACATTGTCTATGTTTCCTAATGTTGAGAATTTTTTACACTTGAGAAGCTCAAATAATCTTAGAAGGCAGAAAAAGAAGGTTCCATTAACAAATATAAATTTAGTAGCAAATCTGCCAGTGCGCCACACGGTGGAGTCAGACATCCACAAATCCATGTGGCCAGTTTGTGACAGGAAATCTGAGCACATATATAAGATGACCAAATATGGTAATGCCATTACTCCGTCCTGCTTTGCCGTGATGTATTAAAACAAGTACTCAATTTCTGAAAAGGAAAAGCTAAGCCCGCTAATCTTTTAATTAGCAATGAGTTTTTATGAAAATGGAAACAAACACATGGTTTTTTATTATACAAAGCATTAAAATTAGCCCTCATTATTTATACTTAGAAAAATGTCATTTTGGCAGAACGCTTTGTGAGTTCTCGGTCTGATTGTGCTTAAGTTCTTATTTCACCGACAAGCTCTTTACTTTCTACTTGTTTCCTCTCTCTGAAATCGATATATTAAAAAAAAAAAAAAAAAAAAAAA